AATCATTCATCTGCAATTTGGTTGCGTTCTTTCTTGTTCTTGCTTGTGTTCTTCGTTGCGCAGGCAGGGATTAGCCTTCTTGGTGAGGTCAACCTGGTCCGAGACTCGGTTGATAACCAGAGGAGCTGTGGTGCTAAGATTGCAGGGTTCGATCTGAAGCCAAATCGGTGTGCCATTCTCTGCCACAATGATAGTTACCATCACCTGACGGAAGATCGGGATCCCCATCCCCATTAAGTGGTATTAGAGCTAAGGTATACCGTCAGGTTCACTTTTATTCCCTAGTTTGAGTGTTTCGCATTCGTCCCATAGTCCAGTGCCATACTTGTTTTTCCTGTCCTAGAACCTTTCGCACCATAGCCTTTGCATATTTCAGTTTTAGAGTCCGTCGTGTTGAGTTTGTGTCCTGGTCGAGGTCTTGTTGCTGGTTAGGTCGTGTTAGAGTCCAGTTCGTGTGTTTTCCCCCATCGTTTCCATCAAATCTTTGCTGTTGTGACCACTTTTGCGCACATTGTTCCCGTTTTGTCCTCTAAATATTATTTCTCTTTTACCCCTCTCTTTTTTTCTATTTTTTGGAGAAGCACCGGATGTGTCCTGGGTGACCAGTTTAAGACAGACTGGTCCTAGAGGCCAAGGCAGACTCGAACTTGAGTTGCCTTGGGCCTCCACCTCGGGGACTCGAACTGAATTAGTCTCGAACCTCCTTCTTGACTTGGACACCCTTGCTGGCCTCCTTCCCCTCCATACCATGCGCCAAACATGGTCATATGCATGGGTGTCATGTCCTCATCAGTACTCAAAATGATATTAATAGCTTGAGCATTGAGTTGCACGCGTATCTCTTCCTCTTTTGACAAATTTTTGTAGTTGCTCCAATCAACTATAAGAGTTATGCTTGCATCCACAATATACTCAACAAGAGGACTAATATCTCTAAAAGCAATGGGTACATGAATTCACCAAGGTAGAAATTTTGAACCATTATTTTGGAGAAGCACCGGCTCCAACTCAATAGGCGTCAACATCCTTTTCTCACGGTGGTGAAGCTTTAGGTGAGAACCTTGCTCTGATACCAATTAAAAGGACCTAGGATGCCACCTAGAGGGGGGGTGAATAGGTGTTTCTAAAATTCAACCTTTTAAAATGCGAAAACGATTAGTGTTGGAGTTTCTAAACACTTGGAAACTCCTAATCAAAGAAATAAACCCCTCATGAGTTAGCCAACAGAGAATACAAGGTATAAAGAATATATCTAGAAGCTATAACCCTGCAACACAAAGTTAGAATAGAGAATGAATATTTTCAGCACAGGTAGAAAATACCGAACGTGTCCAGGTTGGTGTATACACGTGTTCTGCAGAATAGCCCTAAACTTGCTCCTTTTGATTTCAATCTTCAGACCAATCTGTAGGCACCCATTAAAGATAGTGCCACACATAGGTAACCTACACAAGGGCTAGAGCAACATAAATATCAAATGAAATATGAATTAATACATGATATTTGTTTTACCGAAGTTCGGACTTGTTCGAGTCCTCTCCGTTGAGGGGGCTGCGGGCGACCCAGCGAAGGTCAGTCCTAGAGGGTACCACAAAGGTCACTCTAGCCGGAGTCTTTTCCAACTCCTTTTCATCCTTCTACTAGTTGATTCCGAGGCGGCGGAATCGACCGTTACAGACTTTTCGAGGCACACCACAATCTCTCGGGTGCTCTCCGACGACGCCTAGCCGTCTAGGACCAAAGAGTCCAAGAATAACAAATGCAAATCATGAGATTGACAATATGCACAAGTGCTAAAGTGGTTGGATTGCTCTCTTTTTGAATTTCTCTCAACCCACTAATGGATTTGGCAATTTAGATTACACACTCACTAAGAGAGGGTTTGGGAGAGTTGGCAAGGCTCAAAAACATGTATGTGTATCAGCAGAATCAGCAGCCTCTAAAGGTGGAGGCTTAGGGTTATTTATAGCCCCTTTGAAAAACTATCCGTTGGCATAACGGACACGTCTGGTATGACTTGCATTGCGCCAACGGTAACTGAGTAAAGTATCGTTGTGAGGCGTCGAAACTCCCGACGAATGCCGGAACTCTCGAACCTCAGCTCATTTGAAAACTAGCCGTTGGGTCTCACTGAGTTAAAGTATGCGAGGTGTCAGAACTCCCAACGCATGTCGGAACTCCCGACCATCGAAACTCCTGACTCACATCGGAACTCCCGACCTTCAGCTTATTTGAAAACTAGCCATTGGGCTCTGGCCAACTATACCGGATATGTCCGGTAGAATACCGGACACGTCCGGTGTGACCAGACAGTCAACTCTCTAAGTCAGTTAAGCGCGAGACGTCAGAACTCCCGACGATTTCTAGAACTCCCGACCGTCGGAACTCCCGACGAACCAACCTGAGAACACCAAAAAATTTGCTGTGGCTGGGCAAATACCGAACACGTCCAATATCAATGCCAAATCAGCAAAAACAAGTTAGCTCTTTTGTCTCTCAAACACTCAAAACTCACATGGGTTGGCATGAGCACTTATGAATGATTATCTATCAACATGATGCATCCCTCTTAATAGTACGGCATACCTATTAAACTCAAGATCAAAGAAAAAAAATTATACCGCTTAAGTTGATCTCTTTTGAATTGATGCCGCCTCTTTCAATCTTCATCAAGTGAGGGTGCCAACATGTTGATATTGATCTTTTTCACTTGAGCATAGCCATCTTGAGCACGTGACTTAATTCTATTCATCAAATATGAATAATCCTAAATGTATCAAATCACTTCCATCGAACACTCTAATAGTGATTTGATCCTCCACATCAACATGACCATCATAGCTTGATTAGTACCTCAACTAAATGCAAGTACTTCCTTCTTCACCCTAGCTAGGTTCTTCGGCCGCCAAACCGTCGCTTGCCCTTCACCCTTGCTTAGTACCTCGAAGCCTTTCCTTGCTATCTTCACCATCTCAAGCCATCAAGTCATATCTTATGTTGAATCATCCATTCATTTATATTGTTATCTTTTCCATTTCAATTTAGCAAGCTTCAAATATGAGACCATTCTATATGCAATCCCTCATGTCTCATTAATTAATTCTTACCGTGCTTACTTTCACATAGTATATGGAAATCCCACAATAAATAAGCCTTTGCATGAATTCCATTTGCATTGTTGTCTTGTGCTTGAACTAGATTGTTTATACAACAACACATCATTTTGACTTTCATTAAGTACCTGTGAGATAACCTATTACCTGTCCACACTTAGCAAATGGGTTAGACCTTTAATCACATTGTCATTCAATCATTCAAAACCCACGAAAGGGCTAGATGCACTTTCAGTAGGGTCTAACTCCACATTTTTGTTGGAGCAGAGTTCTTGGAGTTGGACCTGTTTAGCTAGACAATTTGAGAGCAGAGTTGAGAAACCTAGAGCAGAGCAATCCCAAACAGACCCTTAGACTACGTATAATTACTTACATGAAAGGATTGACTATCATAAATTATTATTAAATTGTTAGTAAATAGTGTCGTACGTTGATGTGGACAGCTAAATATTTCTTCTGGATGATATGTAATTCGTTGGCATGGATAATCTTATAGAGATAGCTATTATAATTACATGTGCTAGTGGACTACTAATGTGAATAGTTTGCATACAGAGATAGACATGTCAGTAGGGTTTGCTAATATAACATGCTAGAAGGATTCTTTGCGCGTTGTTTTATGTGTTTAAGAAAAATTACACATGGATTTGGATATTAACTTCTGAAAATCTGGAGTACACGTATATATGTTGTTGATAATGGAGGTATATTTATGAACTTGTGATGTAAGTAAATCACAAAACAAATAGATCACAGATGTATCGACATATAACACACAACAAAAAAAATACGACTGATATATGTTTTTGAGAGGAACTTGATTTGCAAAAGCAACAACTGAATAGATCATTAAAACATATGGCACCAACAGTTGATGTACTATGTAACATGTACAAAATTACACGGCAATAGATGATGAGCGTGTATATTTGATAATTTTCAAATTGAAAATACGGATACAATAGAACATGCATTTGAACTCACATGGGCGATGATAATTTGAGGGGACAGCCACATAGAGTATATCATATATATAAATAAATCCGTGGGTATAATCTACCTCTGTGTTTGACACTCAACACATCTACTAGCAAATAAGCATCAAAAGGATCCTTATAAGATTCAATGAATTCCAATTTAAGCACCATAAGATAGAGAATGATTTTACAAAAAAATGTAACCAGTTTCATATTTTTGAGCTAAATCAAAATTTCTATGCATTATAATTAAACCAGATTTTAGGATTTTTTAATTGCATAATTTTTTTTTCAAAAATATATTCACATTTTAAAGAAATTATAGTCCTATTTATCTCCAAACTATCAACATAATCCGATTTATCTCTCTCTTAACTGATATGGTGCCACGTAGGACGACATACGTGATGCCGTGTTAGCAAAACCGCTATTAAGACTACCAGGAGTGTAAAATTAAATGGATCAAGTTAACATGTCAGAAAACCCGATGTAAATGAGAAAAGGAAAATGGGATAGCCGCGGGAGATGAGAGAGGTTGCAAACATTATTGGGTGTAAGTCTTCATGAAAAATGAAGAGTGCGATTTCTAGGGACCGAAGTCGTGCCATCAGTGTGTCCATCGAACACTGCTAGCCACCAGAGAACTAGCTCAGTTCTTCTTATCTTTTCTTTTTTTAAATTACACAGTACACTGTAGACTTCCACGACCCAGCAAAGTTCGGAAACTTCGACGAAACCTCGTTAGAAATTTGGGTCCAACTCATTTACTGTACAAAACAAATTCTGGGCTTCAGGCTCATTCTCATATGTGGCCCAGCCGCCCAGCTTCACTTTCCAAGTCAGTTAAACCCCAGGAGACTGTTTGTCGCGTCGTTTCATTCTCGCCGGCCGCCGCCACACCAAAGCAACCATGGCCTTGTCTGCCGCCCTCGCCCGGGCGCATCTCCTCCGCGGGAGCCTCCGTCCTGCCGGATTCGCCGCCGCCGTCTCTCCACTCTCATACCGCAGCCAGTGCCAACTCTGCAGTACCCCTACCGCGAACGAGCCCTCCGCCGCGGGACCGTGGGACGAGGCCGAGGCGGAGATCCTCCGCGACGTCGAGCCCGTCGTGAACCTCGTCAAGGACATCATCCACTCCCGCAGGTCAACTTCGGTTTCCAGTACCTACTGTTGGCTATCTTCTCCTCAGGATCTTCAGGATGATACATAAGATTGCCGTGTATTTATTAGCATTTCTTTGCGTCGCGAATTTGTCATTAAGTAATGTGTAGCCAGTGACGGATGGACTCTGCATATTGGGAGCTTAATCCTGGACACGACGCATGGTTCCATGGCATTAAGTGATATAGGCTCTACTTTGTCACCTGATTTGGGGATTCAGCTTTAGTTTGTTTGTTCGTATTACAAATCCATATGACGAAACTCCCTAGTGGTGTTGGACACATTCACATGTAGCTGAGTCCTGTGGTTTCCGTTATTGTCAGAATTGTGGTTCTTTCTTCTTTTTCAGATGGGGATAATGTGGATATGATTGGGAAAGTTTTTGGAATCTTGTGAGACTAGAAACACTTGTGAAAAGCACGAATTTACTGCTATCGGGGAAGATTAATTCAGGGAAAATATGGAATGAGCTTGCCCCTGTTTCTTGTGTAAATGCTTATGTTTGTAATAAAGAAGCCCATTCTTCTTGGAATCTTATTTCCTGTTCCATGGAAATTAGCTGTAATAGAATATTATTGCCAGATATTGCTACACTACAATAGTGGAATTATTCTCCAAAATGGAAGAGTGGTCGTATGCCTTAGGTCACTGCAAAATCGAGTTGGTTTATAATATGAGTTATTCGTTTTACACAAGCTCCATTCCTTTATCTAGAAGCACAGAGGCATAAGCAAAACTAAATTTTTTATTTGGTCAATTGAGTTGTGAACTAGTATAGAAGAAGAGTGACACTACAAGTCAGAACACAAAAAATGTTAATGAAGATGACCTTGTAGTTCTTGGGTATTCCTGTCTATTGAACTTTTGCATTATTTCCATCAAACGATATGCTGTTGTTACGGGTTAGATCTGTAGAAGTGATGGTCTGGTGGGTTGTTGCTTGAGAGGTGAGAGGAGGGGCGTAAGGCCTCAGCGATGGCGACCCACAGCTGGCTGTCCGTGGGGTAGGGTTGGGGGTGCGGCTAGCTAGGGAAGTAAGGTGGCGTACTAAGAGATGAGCGAGCCTTTTTTATTCTTTCTTGATCAACTGTGACTTTTGCCTTGTGTTTATGTTCAGGTATCTTTACTTATGTAGCACTTTCGAAAGTCATAACTGAAATAGGTAAACTTCCCTCTTCCCAGTTAAGATAACTTGCCGGTGTGCGTCAGAGGGGATGGGGTGGTGGCTGATTCTCCCTGGGCCTCGCTGGGCCCATGGGACAGGCCTGTAACATGTCCACCCTCTTCCGACACCAGCTTATCCTTGAGCTGGATGTGAAGACATACAATCAGCTATCATGCTGCCTGCATGGTAGAGTTCCTCAGCATCCGAATGTCATATTATTGTGTGAAGCTTGCTGATGATAAGAAATGATGGTGCAGTCAGGGACTCATGGTCTTTATGGCTGCTAAGCTGAAAGTCACAGCCAAGATTTTCCAACTCATCCCTTTATATTAAAGAATCATTGAGTTAGGTTTTACATGCTATGAATTGCATGCATGATGATATGAAGCCCCCAGTAATGACATTATGTGTTGCCCCTAGTCCACAATAGCTGTCAATGCTTCTTCCCCATGGTGCGGCAGCTTCACTGTGTGCCTTGCTGTTAGGATACTAGTGTTCGCTGAACAGGGATGTCAAATTGTCAATGCTGTAACCCCATTATCGTTGATAGTTTTGTTGTTGAGTACCTCTATGTGAAAGAGATGCTTGCTGAGTTGCAGTGATGACCCTTGCTAACCGCTCACCAAAATATTGAGCCAGTGATATGTTGCCATCCCTTTAGCAGTCGATTGCTTGGTGACCTCTGAGAGCTAGGTGTTGGCCAGGTAACACAAATGGATCTCAGATTTGGGAACTGCCAGAGGGCAGCTTGGCCTTGGCCGCTTGTTGGAATTGAAAAGCAAAACTTGGGATACAAGATGGTCTATGCCACTGCTACTTTATATAGCAGATGGCTACTCTCCTCCTTACCTGCTCCAGCATATTCTAACCACTAAAGTGGATGCTGAGCATATTCCTAATACTAAGCTTAACAAAGCCGACAATAGTTTTGCAGGAAATAGTAAGATACATAGAGAAGCACTAGGCTTTACTCTCATTTCTCCCCCTAAGCCTTGTGCTAAGCCTTGGAGGTGATCTGCCTCAGCCCAATCCTCTGCCTCATCTCTTGGAACTTGGTCTTTCCCAGCGACTTGGTGAGAATGTCTGCCAGCTGATCACTAGTGGCGAAGTGGTAGGCCTTGATGCTTCCATCTTCCAGACAGCTTCTGATGATGTGATATTTGATGTGGATGTGCTTGCTCCTCTCATGGAAGACTGGATTCTTGGCCAGAGCTAGAGCACTGTCCACTTTCAGCTCAACCACTTCGACATTTCTGTCGAGGAGCTCTCCCAGTAGCCTTGACAGCCACAATGCTTGAGTAACTGCAGTGGTAGTGGCAATGTACTTAGCTTCACAGCTTGACAGGGCCACCACTTTCTGCTTTAGAGATTGCTAGCTGACCAAGCAATTGCCGAGGAAGAACATGGTTATGCTCGTGCTCTTGCTTTTGTCGATGTTGCCGGCGAGGTCGCTGTCACAGTAGCAGACGAAGCACGCCGTGCCGGGAGCCCTTGCGTAGTGCAGACCGTAGTCGAGGGTGCCCGCCATGTACCGGAGTATGCGTATGACCACCTGCAGGTGCTCCACCGTGGGCTGTTCATGAACCCGACCGAGAACGCCAAGTCCAGTCGGGTGTGCACTAGGTAACGGAGGCTGCTGATGAGCCACCGGTTGTCGGGGACCAATACTAGGGTACCCGAAGAAGAGGAGCTAATGACCGCCAGCGTTGATTCATCCGCGCGATCAAGAGCGCGACTACACCGCTTGCCAGGCCACTCCTCGTTTGTCCACCGAGACCATGGGCCCCGCCTCAAGCTGACTTCCGAGGGCTGGCTCCGCCTCGCCCGACGTCTGAGGGGAAACTCCGCCTCGCCCGACCCCCGAGGGCTGGCTCCACCTCGCCCGACGTCCGGGGGCTGGCTCCGCCTCGCCCGACGTCCGGGGGAGGACTCCACCTCGCCCGACGCCCGGGGGCTGGCTCCGCCTCACCCGACGTTCGGGGGAGGACTCCACCTCGCCCGACGCCCGGGGGCTGGCTTCGCCTCGCTCGACATCCAGGGGCTGGCTTCGCCTCGCCCGACCTCCGAGGGCTGGCTTTGCCTCGCCTGACGCCTAGGGGCTGGCTTCGCCTCGCCCGACGTTTGAGGGCAGACTCCGTCTCGCCCGACGTCTGAGGGCTGGCTCCGCCTCGTCCGACGTCTAAGGCCAGACTCCGCCTCGCCCGACGCTAGGGGGTTGGCTCCGCCTCGCCCGACGTCTGAGGGGAGACTCCGTCTCGCCCGACCCTCGAGGGCTGGCTCCGCCTCGCCCGACGTCTGGGGGCTGGCTCCGCCTCATCCGACGTCTGAGGGCAGACTCCGCCTCGCCCGACGCTAGGGGGTGGCTCCGCCTCGCCCGACGTCTGAGGGGAGACTCCGTCTCGCCCGACCCTCGAGGGCTCTCGCCTCTTTGATGTCCAGGCGGCGACTCCGCCTCGCCGCCTGGGCCGGTTCCGCCTCCCGACGTCCCGAGGGGGCGAGACTCCGCCTCGCCCAAGCGTTCTGCTACCGCTCCTTCATAACTACGCTACAGAGATAAGGTAGGGCACTCAAGTCAACCACAATACCGAGGACCATACCCTGCACGCCTGTAGGAAAGTACCGTCAGGATATGACAAGATGGGCGCTTTAATCCCTTCCGGGCATGTTAGAGCCCGAACAGTGTTGTAGGCGCCGACATTTGTCTTACAGTGTTGTGGGCGCCACCATTTGCCCTCGGACATGGATCCTAACGGAAGAGCACGACAACCACTACAGTCTAGGAGGAGATTCGCATCATCTACAGTAACGAACGTGCGGTCACTGCGTCAGGGAGGGATGGGACGTGACCACTTGCTGATCAAGCCAGAACATGGCATCATCAGCGGACAGGCGTCCAGCGCGGCCCTATTAGGATCAGCGGACATGCACCCAGCATGGAGCTATCCCTGGCACCGTCTGCCGTGTCAGCGCGGCTCGCTCAGAGAAACAGGAAGATCCGATATCTTTGAAGGATCTCCTTGGCCTCTGTTTTTTTTTTGTTTCTCCCATCTGTAATCCCTGCTTCCCCTTGGTCTATAAAAGAGAAGGCAGGGCACCCCATTAAAGGGATGGATCGATTCAACACACCACGCATCGCATCACACACAACTGAGCAGCAACCAAGCTCTCAGCGCCCTTTCGATCTTTTCATCAGAGGCTTGGGACCTGTCCCTCTCTCGCCCGTTTGTAACCCATACTATGAACTTTTCAGTGCTAATAACACAAGCAGCAACCACAAACTGGACGTAGGGACATTCCGCCCGAACCAGTATAAACCTTGTGTCTTTACGTATTAATTTCATTATCGAGCCTCTGACCCCAGCGACGGCAGAGGGTCGGGGATTGCTCGGGGGCTGGCGAGGGTGTCTATTCTCTAGACATTCTCTTTGCCCGGCCTCTCACGTTCAAAAAAACTGGAGGCACGGTGTGCGGGCGCAAACTTTGAGAAAGCCTGGTCGGACCGTTAGGACCCTACGCCCCAGCGGCTACGGCGTTTTTGTCCACCAGCGCGATTAGAGTCTCTGTCTCCGCACTCCAAACCTTAACCTCCACCTTGGGAAGGGCTTGGAGGGGCCTACCTACAGAATCTCCATTAAGGAGAGGCTGTTAGGTCGCCCGAATCGACCAAACGGCTCGGGCCGCTGCCTAGAGACAGATACGGAAGAATGGAAGGCTTATGCAGGTTACGCCAGACGTCGGATCTGAACCCCGCACGGACATATCTGGTAAAGAGCTCCCAGAACCCGTCACTCATGCCATCGAGGTAACATTACCGACCCCCGTTTTTTCTTAAACTATGATCATTCATACATTCGTCCATTCAATCATTCCGTACATCCAAGTAT